CCCCAAAACCCCAAAACCCCAAAACCCCTTTTGTATTTAAGAAAATTGGAATAAAAATTATAAAATTAAATTCATTTTTAATGTATCCTCAGCATAACTCTCGTAGTAGAGGGCAAAGGAGAACCTTTGATGATAAAGTAAGAGATGGAAAAGGAAGTAAACATATTGGATCATTTGGAGAGAGCCATACCAAAAAGATTTCTGAAACTAAAGAGCAGGAAGAGAACTTCAAAAGATCCCAAGACTACGAAAATCTTAGTAAACTTGATGATATGAAAATTGAGAAGCCAGCTACCCTAGCCTCCGATGCCGACCACAAAGTCCTCTCCCACTATAAAGAAATCAAACCAGCACTTCAAGAAATCTCGCTTAAGAATCTGCCGAACGACCTCACCCAGAGAAGAGAAAAACTTGCTGAAATTCAAACCAAGGCAGAAGCCAACAAAAGATTTGTAGAAGACAGTCTGGAAGAAAGCAACAAGAGAATCAAGAAAGGGTTGGAACATGTGAAGACAATTGATGATGAGAACCTTGGGGAGCAAGAGAAGTTGGAACAGAGGTGAGTAAGGTCTTTGATGGTGTAGACTGGGAGAGCTGAGGAAGAAGAGGACTGAGTTTGAAGTGAGAAGAGTGCAGAAGTTAGGTGAGGATATGATATCTTCATTAGAACAGCAAGGAATTGTTCTTTGCTTTTTTGTGGGATTTTTAGGGGTTAGATGAAGTTTTTGGGAACTTATGGTGTAGGTGGAATAGTAAATGAACTATATTCAGAGCGTTCTGAGTTAGTAGCCAAGTCTAGCAAGAAAATGGAGAAGATTAAAAAATCTCTCAATGATTTAGCAAGTGAAATAAGTAAGAGAACAGCATTTATCTAACTTAGGTCAGAATTTTAACATACAAGATCAACCAGAAACAGTGAAATTACTTAAAGATTCTTGAGCTGAACTCCCTCATCTCCCCCAACTTATTGATCCTAATCTAAAGAATGTGATAAAGACAGAACCACCTGAGGATATTAAGAATTTGATGGCTAAACTTAAAGGTTTAACAAAACAAAAGCCATCAGATCTCACAATGGAATTAAAAGCTTATCCAAAATTTGCAAATGCTGAATCAGATCTGATTGAAGACGCTTCGCAAATTGAAGAAGAGATGGTTGCTCGTATAAACGAAGCTTTAGAAAACTTAGATGAAGAAACTAAAGGTATGTGCTTTAAGAACCATGAAATGAATTTTTGAGAAACAACATTTTTTAAAACTTGATACAACTACTTTTTAATTCAGAAAATCAATTTTGAACAACTACATTTACTCTACAGTTGCATTGCCAAACTAATTTTTAGCTTATAAAAATCTTCTTAGATTAACTTTCTCCTTTTCTTCTCCAAAATTCTAATCCTTTTCACCTACCTTCTCTAGAAATCTCAGAATCTTCTCCTCATAATCTCCCGCACACCTCACCAAGTCCAAGAAAAACAAGGTATTTCTTAGTTTATAACAAATCAGAATCGCTACTGACAAATCTTTTAAACAAAGTCAACCTAAAACTACAAAGCCATATGGGTCTGAATATTCAACTGGTGGTTCTGAATTCCCAGACGGTAGGCCCAAAAAAATAATACAAGAGGCCATATTTAGTAAGTAGAGATTTATATTAAACATAGGCGATGTTGATTTTTTCTCTAACTTAGAAACAGGTAAAGTACAAAGACAAAAATTTAGATCAAATACTTCCGGATAAATTGAGCAATGCTTTTGATGAATTTGAAAAGAGCATTCAGAATGGTGTTAAGAAAGGTAGAAAAGATGAATTTAATAGTTTAGAGTTGAGTAATATTCAAAAAGCTCAGGATCAAATAAATATGAGTCAGATTGAAGAGGAAAAACATGATCCTTCCCTTCATAGTTCCAGCTTCAAGGCTGAAGGCAAAGAAACAAAAACAATCCTTGAATTTTGTAAGTAATGATATACTTTTTAACTAGTTTTTAATTCTGATATATTTTTATCTTTTCGAAAACCTTTCTTTAGAAAAGCTTGTGAGAGTTGATGAGTAAATATGATGGATTGATTCTAAAGAAAAAAGAATCAGAACGAATAATAGTAAGTGATACTTGTTCTTTCATATCATAGACTTTCATTTCCAATATTTTTTAAACTTTTTCTAATTTTGAAGTAAAATTTATATCGAATAGAAAAAATTATTGATTCTATTTCTAATTATAAAACCAAACATTATTTCGAGGAATAAACACCTTATTTGATTTTAAATTAAAAAGGTAAAGTTGACTCTGAAACATGAGCTCAAACCTGTCATTTTTGACTAAAATAAAAGATAAAGTTTGACCTAATAAAACATAGGATATTGAGAATGCTACATACTATGAAGCAAACAGGAAAGAATTCTTTAAAAGATATGTTGATGACTGTGGATTGCATTTTTATATAAACGTAAGTGATAACTAAAAGCGGATGAGTTATTTGGAGGATTGCTTCGGTATAATCTAAACAGAATCTTGAATATTTTGATAAATTTTTGTCAAATGTTTCAAGCAAGAATTTAAATCAGGCATGTATGTTCTCTCATAAGATTTTATCTCTTTAAAAGCAAAGAACCAAAGAAGTTCAGTTAAATTTTTAAGACTCTTGTTAAAAATTTTATTTCTATCCATTCCATAAAAATTAGGAAAAATTTCAGAATTTTGAAATTTATCCAAAAGTTTATTTTATTTTGTTACTTTTACTGAGAGAAGAAAAACTAAAAATAAAATAAATTATTGAGGCTGACCATCTTAAGTTAAAGAAATTGAAAATTTAAAAATATCGAATCTCTAAATGAATTACAAAAATGATATCTAATTTCCTGAATGGCTATGCACTGTTGATCTTAATGTTCACTCAGGTGTTTTATTAAACCTCAAAATATTGAAACAATCCTTCATGGGATTAAAATAACTGAAATATATGTTTCTAAGAACTCCTCTCTGAACTAGACTTCACCATTTCTGAGAGGAATAAAATTGATATTGGTTATTAGTGTCATTGGCTCTCCATTATTTATTTGCCAAATAAAAAGACTTCTTGAATTAATTTTAAATATCAAAGGAAATTTTATTCAAAGCAATTCGAATTGAAATAATCTAAACTTTAGTTTTGAAGGAAGTAGCTATTTCTAAAGAATATTTATAGTTTATTCTAAGTATTGTATAATGCCAGAAAACCCTTTCTAGTCGCATCATTTCTTATTTAAAATAGTTTGGAAACTATCCATAGATCATTCCTGTAGTTTTATTGTTAGGTTGACCATGAAATTTAGTTAATCTAAAATGGTAAACTTTTAGATAAATGAACTAAATATTTATTACATCATGAATTTTCTTCTCAAATTAGGTCTTTAAGAATTAACTCTTAGCTTTCATAAGATTTATTTCCAATTTTTTTCAATAAAAATACTTTACTTCATTAAGATTACAATATTTTATTGTTATTTTTAAGTAATTCCAACAGGAGCTTTAGTCGTTGCAATTCATATGCTCTTCAGAACACTTTTGAAGATATCTTTTATTAGATTTATATTTTCCAATCCTTTCTTTATTTCGAGTTATTATATACTAAAATTAAGATACTTTTTTTTGGACTTTTAGCTTATGATATTTTAGTCAAGGATAAGAGAGAGTTCTGAGAAGAGGAGATTAATGGCATTAAAAGATGGTAATTTTTTTTTACAAAAATAAAGAGGATAAAGAGATATACAACCGATTGAGCCAATTAGTAAAAGATTTAAAGAAAGCTTTTAAAAAATTAGTGGAAAACGAAATTTTTCATAATTCTCAGAATCCTGGATTTCAAAATTTATTTTCATACAATAATGAAAATATGGAAATTCTCCGAAGACAATCGAAACAAAATATTCCTAGTGAAGCAACAAAATTTAACCAAATACTTTCTAAATCAAAAACTGGTAAGAATTTATTACAACTAAATAATAATACTCTAGAAAACTCTCCTTCAAGTATTTTACACAAAAAACCAAAGGAGTCTTCTAAAGCAACAATCTCAGCCGCACTCACAAAAATTTCCAACCAACTTACCCACGAAATCTCCCTTCTAAAATCAAACATATCAGAATACATCCAAAAATCCCATTCCCCACGTCCCAAATCCCCCTCTCATTTCCTCTCCACCCCAGAACCCGCTCACTCACCCACTCAATCTACCAAAATCCAAAAAACCCTCTCTAAGCTAACAGCATGTCTCAAAACTTGCAAGCAAGGTTTTACTGATTGCCAGGTTCAAAAGAAGGCCTTCAATCAGTTTATTGCTCGCAACATGCAGAGGAAAGAGGAAGCGTATAAGGAAGTGAAGGCTGAATTTGATGAACTTTATTATGGAGTTAAGAGTGCTAATGAGGTTAATGCAGGAAGACGGAGGAGTTTAGAAGAGTATTTTAAGAGAGTTGATCGAGTTTGTGGAGATGTTGGAACAGTTTTAGGAGAGTTTAAGGTAACATCCACAGCTTTAGGTCAGAAAACAGCTCATCTTAACGACCTCAGTAACCTCTCCCAATCATCTATAGCTAACAAAGTCACAAATTTCAATACAAAAATAACATCACACCACAAAAAAACAACAGCTGCAAACACCAAAAACTATGCTCTCATCACTTCCCTCCAAGAACACATCAAAACTTTAATCACTGACAAAACCTCTCTCTTCCAAAACCTTCATTCTCTCGTTGTCAAAATCTCCGGAACAATTCCAGAAAACTTACTCCTTGAGTCTCCAGTTGATATCAATGCTCTTCACAAGCAACTTTCCCAAGAAGAAGCCTCCCTCGCAGCTTCAGTCAAAGAACTAAAACAAGAAATAAAACTCCATTACAAAAATACTGAAGAAGCCAACAAAAGAAAGAACATAGAGATGGAAGAAGTCATGGTTCAGAGAGCCAAATGTGATTTATTAAACTTTGTTAATCAAGGGGTAGCCCAAGGTGAGCAATTGTGAAATAATAGTTTATCTCAGCTTTGTGTAGATATCAGAAATTTAGAAGCACATTTAGAAGATTTAACAGAAAGGAATAGACAGCAGATGGACGATAGTGTTCAGATTGATCATTGTGGAACCAAGATTGTTCTAAAATTTATCAGAGATGTTGCTGAAGAGAGTTCAAGTGCATTGGTACTTCCAATGGATGCAAACTTGAGATTGAGTTGTTTGCCTGATGAATTTAGTCTTGTGAAGAGAGAAGCTGGAGAAGAGCTGAAGAAATTTTGAAATGACTATATAGAGGAGTATGGGTCTTTGAAGATGGGGGATGCAGTAGTTCTTCCATCTGGCGATTTAAAGTTTGACAAAGTTATCGCTGCTTATTGCCCTGACCATGACGAAGAGATAGGAGACGAGAGATCTATCTATTTCTTGAAAGAGGCTATAGAAAGAGTGCTAGATCTGTCTAGTCTTTATCAATTTAGTGAGTTTTAAGCATTAGGAATTTATTGATAATATAAATCAAATTCATTAAATTCTTTCTTTTATTACTGCAATTTTTATTCTAAATAATAGAATGAAATGTGCAGTTCCAATTTATTTATTACTATCTCTTGTGAAAAATGAATAAATTTTCATTTCTCATATCAAAATAAACAAGATAACATAATTTTTTGAAATTCAGAATCAATAGCAAACAATCTAACAAAATTTAGATTCGATAATGATTCCCTCATTCTGCACAAGCAAGTCTAAGTTTCCAGTAGATTTATATGCAAAGGTTGTAATTAAAGTAATCTCCTATCATAACAGTAGACTGTCAAGGATTATATTGAAAATTATGGAAATATGCAAGAAAAAACAATCACAATTTGTAAGAACCTAGAATTTAGTTCAAGCTTAATCATTAGCTTAAAACTAATTAATAAAGATATGTGAATATTAAACAAATGGATTCTTTACAATTAAAAATTTCTTGATTCACAGTTATGAATGCTGCCATGTAAAGAAACAAGAAGGAAGTTTCTCTAAAGCATCTGATTACAAGGATAAGTTAAACTATGGTAGATTAAATAAATTAATCTTATTTACTTCAGAAATCTTACTCCTTTATTCTAAAATATTGTTACTGCTTCTGGTTAAAATTTATTCTTTCTGTGAAGCATTAATAGAAGATGGCCCAAGAAACCGATGTTGAAGTATAAAAGCAGCCATTTAAACTAATAAAATAAATTTAGAGTGTCTATAGCAGTACTATAGTTCGTGTTAATTATTATGATTAATCAAAATCTTCGATGTGGACTTTCCTGCATTTGATTAATTTTGATGAATTAAATCTTTAATGATATAGTTTAATCCAGCTTATAATTGTTTTCTATTCTATAAAATAGGCTCTATCAATCAAAATATATATTCATCAAATTCATTGATTTTGATAACTTTAAAATGCAGTGATGTCAATAATTTTAATAATAGCATATTCAAACTCCAAAGATAAATAAACACTTTCACAAGCTTATTGTAAGGCCTTTGTTCATAATTTTAGAAAAAGGAAGATTTAGAGTGAATTCAGCAATAATTAACTTTAGATCTCCACAAGGAGATCCTTCTAAAAAGTTTTATAGAAGTGAAGAAGAAGAGAAACTTGATAAAATGACATTGGAACTACAGAAAAATAAAACTAAAATTTCAGATTTAAAGAAAGCCAAAGGGAAAAAGAAACTAGAGTATGAGCAGAAATGAGAAGAAATGAGACAAGAAATTTTTAAACTCAATTATGCAAAAAGTAAGGGAAGATATCATAATATATAGCAAAGCTGGAAAATGAGAATAAAGATCTTCAAGATCATTTAAAACGATCCGAAGACAAAAACATTGACCTCAAAAACCAAAACAAAGCAGACGAAGAAGAGCTAAACGACTTAATGGAAAGTGAAATAGCAAAACACAAAAGAACTATTGAATCCTTAAAAGCTGAAAACAATAATCTCAGTCACAAAATAGCCTCCTACAAAAGTACTTTCTCCCTCACCCTTCAGAGAAATACAAAATCCTATCCAACCCCCCAGAATCCACCACGCATAAACCCAAAGTTGTCAGGTCTCCAACCAATAAACCTCCCATTGAAGAGACCAAGGATGGCAAGACCAAGAAGATTGTATGAATCTGTTCGGGTTGGGCTTAAGAAATTTAGAATAGTTTAGTGGGACCAGATGGGATAGGGTGAAAGGGTGGGGAGTTTGAATGGGCGAGTGGTCTGAGTGGGGAAGGATTAGGAGTGTGGATTTGGGTGAGTGAGAATTTAGGAAATTGAGTGTTCAGAGACGGAAAATGATATCAGTGTTAGTGAACTGGCCAGGGAGAGTAGGGCTAGTCAGAGTGAGGAAGTGGGAGTTGAGGTTTTATGGTTTAGAGTGATACTAGTATTGAGTATGAAGGAGGACAAAGAGATATGGAAGTGCTTGAAGAGATAGAGAAGGTTTGTGTTGATAATATTCTTGAAGAATATGATAGAAATGAAGAATTTTAGAAAAATATGTGTTGAGAATTAAGAACAAGAAGCAAGGAAATTTAATGGGAGAATTCAAGCAGAATCATTAAGTCATTAATTTCCTTGAATAAAAAGTGTTCTAACATTTTAATTTCTTCAGGAACCATCTTAATGAAAACCTCTTACTTTACTCACTACTTCTTTTTATTAAATTTTATCTGTTAGTTGACCAAATTGTTTAAGCAAAGACAAAACATTATACGGGATGTAAATTATTACTATTATCAAGTAATTAAAGAGAAAACCAGGAAGAAGTAGACTAATGTAACTACAAATTGAGTGACATGCATGGCTATTATAATAAAGCGGTATTATCATAATTGTTAGCAGTTTCTTATTCCCTTATTTCAAAATTAAAAATTGATTTTTAATTCCTGATTAAAACTTGCTCTCCAATTTTATAAAATATCTTAAAAATAATCTTAATACTCGTAATTTAAATAAATTTCAATCTCTGATAAATAGATTGGGGTTTTGGGGTTTTGGGGTTTTGGGG